CGTGATATTGCACGCAAATTCACGGCCCTGCGGGGGCACAGATGCAGACTGCATTTTCGATTGGAGGATGTTGGGATTGGTCGGATCGCCGCTGCCACTTACGCTCCGCGTCTGGATGGTGAACTCGACATCGTCACCGGGACGCAGCTCCACATTGCCCTCAGCCTCTGAGAAGTGGAAGAAAATCTCCTTGACCACATCGGCACGTTCGATAAAGCCAAACGATTCCTTCATCGAGCATACAACCCCACGATACTTAACCGGCTGGGCCGGATTTTCCAGGCGAATATGGCAGGCGCCTAGATTACCTCTGCAATGGAAAAGGTTCATTCGTTTACAATGGGCATAAAAAGGATCAATATCAATCCTTACCTTTGGTTCGTTGCGATTTGAAAGCTGACCTTGTCGCCAGCGCGCAAGTTGACATTACCTTCCACATCGTCTTTGGTATAGGGTAAAAAGAAGCATTCGCCTCGGTTCTCATAGCTTATGCGACCTGTGGTCTCGCTGGAGTTGAGCACATTGTTGGCGCTATCTGTGCGCAGCTCAGTGGTCACCGTACCGGTGACCCGCTCCTCGGAGAGAACAACCTCTGGGGCTATTTTAGATACTTGACTAGCTATCGGCTTGCCGGTGCGGCGATCATAGGTCATCTCAAACTCCACGGGATCTCCGATTTTCAAATGATCAATATTACCGCTGAATTGCGAGAAATGAAAGAAGAGACGCGCCTGCCTCTCACAGCACTGAATGAATCCATAGGAATGCTATAATTAAGACCAAACAAATAACGTAAAATTAGATATTGTGGTCGCGCGAAAGTTTCTCTCATCTACTCACCAGCAACTTTTCAATGATGCCAGTTTCCCGGGTGGTCTGGCTGGGATCTGCAGCTGCGGCCGATGAATTGCTCGACTGGGAGCCAAAAATGGATGAGCCACTGCCAGCTCCGTTAGTCAAAACGCTGTTAGACTGGAATACCCCGATTTGAGGAGGATTCTGAATGACATCGTTAACCTCGTTGGCATCAAACATTCCAATGCTCGGATGCTGTTGTTGTTGCTGCTGCTGATGTTGCTGCTGTTGTTGATGTTGCTGCTGCTGCTGTTGATGTTGCTGCTGATGTTGTTGCTGCTGCTGTTGCATATGTTGCTGCTGATGTTGATGGTGATGCATATTTTGCTGCTGCTGATGCTGCTGTTGTTGTTGTTGATGCTGCTGCTGCTGGGGCGACGGTCCCTGACCTTGCGGCTGCAGTCCCAACGTAGTAGAGTCGAGCGTAAAGGTTCCAATGGTCGGAAAAGTGGTTGGGATTCCCAGGTTGCGAATGGCATTCATGTTGAAATAACTATCGCATGGCAAGTTGTCATAGATTTCTGCAGCATTGCGGGGGAAATAAAATCAAACATTATAAGGACGAAAATAACAATATTCCAAAAAGTTAAACCCCTTTAAAATGTTTCAAGTAAGGTAAGGACTTACATAAACTACATTAATAATAGACCCAATATTGGACTTACCTTCGCCAGTACGGTACACCTTCGATTGGGTATTCATGTTTGATTGATTGGTTTGATTGGATATTAACGAACAAAGAAAAATGCTGATAAGGACTAGCAAATTGGAGACTGGTTCTTGACGATGGTGATTGCGATGTTATAGGTATTATTGGGTGGTCAGTGGTTTAATCCGATCAACCGATAATGGATGCGAATGACGAGAACGATTGGAACGAGAGTTAAAGTTGAAAATTGCAGAAAGCGCGAAAAATTATCGAAAACAGATTTGTTGATCTCACTTGTGTTTAATTTTGTTTTAATGATATATTTTTTTTAAAGTTTTTTTCGTGTACTTTTATATCAAAGAGAAAAAACTAAGCAATAAATACGTATTTGTTTTTTATTTGTTTGTTTTGTTTTTTGTGTATATATATTTTGGCTAAACACTGGCACAAGAGGCACTGAAATTCCTTGTCTTCGAAGTTAATAAAAATTTTTGTCTTTTTTTGAGGGCATGCCCCGCAAAAAATGTGGTTATTTTACTTAGCTTTCCTTTTCTGTGGTTGGTTTGTTTGTTTGTTTTTTGTGTTCCTTGTTATTTTGTGTTTTTATTTCTTGTAAAAAATGCCGACAAATATTGTAACGTTGTTGGTTTGTTTTGGTAGTTTGAAGTTCCTTCCTGGGTCTGTTGTAGTTTGTTTTTTTTTCTAAAGTTGTTGTTCTTTAAATATTTTTTGCTTGTTTTGTGTATTCAAAATATTGTGGTTTCACGATGAAAATGCATACCAGCTGCTGCCGTTGGTGTTTTTTGTTTTTGTTCGAGTTTTGAATTATTATTGAATTATTGCATTTTGTTTGAAATGATTTTGGTTGTTTTATTTTTTTTATTTTTACTTTAGTTTTACTAGAAAAATACACTGGGAATACTTTTTACTTTTGGGTTAGATTAGCTTTGTTTGATATTTGAATATTTTGTGTGATTTGCTTGATTATATTGTTTTCTATTTAGTATACATATATATAATATATATTTTGTAGGCAATCGTTGTGGTTTATAGGAAGTAGTAGTGATTTTTTTATTTACTTTCGAATACCTTTAGTACAACGATGATTTTTGGGGGACGAGGTTTAAATCTCCTTCTTCCTCTTCTCGGGACTTCCGTTTCCGGTTCCTCACTTTCTTTCTCTCTCTCTTTCTTTCTGTGTCGATTTCCTTTTTTGTTTCGCTGTACGTTGCTATTACTTTTCGGTTGCACGATTTGTATAATTTGTTTTTTTTTGTTGCTGTTTTATTGCTGTTTCATTTACTATTCACTAAGCAAAAATTATGAGTTTTAAGGTTTTTTTTTTGTTTTTATATATGTATATAATAGATATAGGACACCCGTTATGTAAAGTTATCCTCGCTCATTTACTATGTTGAACTTTAAGTCTACGATTTATTTTGTTTTGTTTAAATATATATATATTTTGAATGCGTTTTGAAGTCTTTTCATAACCTAAGGTTTTTATTTTTGCTTTGTGTTGGTTGGTTTTGTTATTTATTCACTTATTCCTTTGTTTTGTTTTTGTTTTCTCGGTTGACCCTCACTAGATTTAAGCTTAGTTTAATAGTTTATATAATATAATATATAATATACTATAGTATATATGTATCGAAGTCCTTTAAGATATCACGAATTTGTTTCAATGTTTTTTATCTTTTCATTTGCATTTGCTCTTAAGTGTAAAGTTGTTGTTGGTTTAAGATGTTTTTCTGCTTTCTGCTTCCTCTTTCGCTCCTTCTTCTTCGCCTATTGTTAAAAATTACGGGTTTTTCCTTTCATTTCATTAGAGATTTTTTTGTTGTTTTTCTTTGCGTTTTTTCCTTTTTTGTTTATTTAAATTTATAAATTTACAGTAATTATCACAGAGTTGTTAAATCTTTCTTTGAATTTGTTTTGTTTTTCTTTTCTCCGTTTTACTTCCGTTTGTTGCAGTTGCTTTTGCTGTTTTAGACTTTTAACATTTCTCACTAGGTACACTTATAAAAAAACTGAATTGAAAACTAGTAAAAAACAATGTTTTATTGGAAAAAATAAAAACTGTTGTTTTGGCACAAGGCCGCAGTTTTGAATTTGTTATGTGTTCTCTATATATATTTTTTAATCCGTTTATTTTTCTTTTCACTAATTTATTGTTTTTTTTTTATTATTAAATTTATTGGCTAAGTTAAATTGCTGGTGTTGTTGTTGTAGGTCTGTGTAAAACGTGACTTAAAACTTATAGAATTCTTGTAGATTTTTGGTTTTAAATGTTTTCTTTATTGTTACCGTTATTTTTTAGTATATATTTTTTATTCACACTTTTTTTGCGGCACAATTGTTGCTTAATCGGTTCTATCCAGCTCTCCTTGCTTCTTTCTCCGTTTATCGCTCTGTCTTTCACTTCCCTTTCGCCCTTTTGGGCTTTTATCAGTTATTTTTCGACTTAATTTCTAGCAGTGTTTTTTTTATGTTTAGTTTAATAATTTAGATTGATGTTGCGTTTTAAATTAAATCGTTTTTAATATGTTTAAATTATTTGTTGTTGATTTACTCCCGGTTATTTTGTACTTTAAAACATTAATTCAGTTGTTTGTTGGTTGTTTGTTTGTTGTTGTTGCTGCTTTTGTAGCTCGGTTGTTGTTGTCTTAATTAAAATTAATTAGCAAATTGAATTCACTCTGACTTAACAACAAAAAATTCGTAATTAAATAAAGCTTTTCAGGAAAAATAATGAGGAATTTTGGGATTTATTTAGCGATTTTCCAAGTGTATTTTTTGCGGTTTAGCTTGAATTGTTTTTTTTTTTTGTTTTTGTTTTATTCGAGAGTCCGAACGCCGAAGCGCCGTTGCCTTTAATTTCACGTTAGTTTCGTTTCCCGTTGCTTTTTTGTTTTCAGTGCTTTTGCCGTTTTCTTGTTAAACTCCGTTTTACTTGCTCCTTCGTGGGTTGCCTTTTATTTTGTTATAGCTTTTCTTTTTATTATTTATTTGTTGGTGCTTTTGAGTATTGACGAGTTAATTTCACAGCGTTTCAATTTGTTTGGTTTTTTGTTGGTTTTGTTGTTGGTTTATTTGAAAGTCTTCGTTTCAAGCTTGGCTTGTTTTTTATTTTGTTTGTTGTTTTGTTTTCTTTTTTTATTTGCGCAGTCGCTTTATCTCCCTCTCTCTGTCTCTGTCTGTCTCGCTCACACCGACGGGCGGCGTACAAATTCTCGTTTTTTTTCCTGTTTTGTGTGGTTTTCTTTGCAAAGCAAACGAAACAAAAACAAAGAAGAGTCCAAAAAACTTAAAAAGTTTTTGTTTGAGTTTTTCCTTTTGAGCTATGTTGTTGTTTGTTTTTTTTTATGTATTTCTGCTGTAACTTTCAATTATTTGCGATTTATATTTGTATGTATTATTTTTTGATTCGTTTTCGATGGTTTTTTTATTTTTATATCATATTTGTTGTTGTATTTTTATATTATTATTATTTTTGTTCAGATTATGATGAAAGTGATGTCAAAACGGAGTTTTAGTTACAAAAGCTGTTGGGTGAGAAAAAGAGAAAAGTGGAAACGATTAGGACATATTTTTTACAACTTTTGTTTTTTTTTATTTTTGGCTACTGAAATCTACACCGAAAAAGTCTTGCTGCAGTTTTATCGATTTTTCAGTGTTGCAAATGGAGAGATTTTTGCCTGCCGGAAAAAATTGCACACACACTGACTCAAGCTACTACGAACACACACATGTACGCCCATACACACGCACACGCAATTGCAATTGTAAACTATTTTTACACATTATTGTTGTGGTTTTTTGCGTAAAATTAGCAAGTCCGCCGACTGCACACACACATGCACAGTCACCCAAGTGCCAAGTTGTTAAAAAAAACGAATCTTCTTCCTCAACTTTTTTTTGGGCTGCAAATTTGGTACCCCCAAACACACACACACACACGAGCACAGGCGTAGAAAATCTGGCTGAGCATCGAGAAAAACGTTATTTCGCCATTAAAAATCTGATTTCCCTAACACTTTTGATGTTTTTTCATCACAGTTTTGTTCGCGGCACATTTTCTGCATATTTTCGTTCCGAATTTGAGTTAAATAATAGTCCCATTCGAAGCGAACGAGAATTTTCTGGACCAGCCACACGTACCACACGACAGCACAACAACTGCTAGCGGGCGCCATATTTGCCGACAGAGCGATGGCAGTGTTGGAAAGTGCGCGATGTGAGGGTCAATTGTGACGTCAGTGGTCATGGGAGTAGAAGCAGGGCTCTCTTAGCTACGTTTGCATACATTTTTGTAATCCCAACTTTGACTATTTAACATTAGCTTAGTTCTATCTAGTTCTAGCCTTAATAAAATGTCTGATAAAAAAGGAATATCGAGTTTTAAAACTGTGTGATTAAATGATGAATTGGATGCATTTCTCTTGTAATATTTTTACATTTAATAACAACCAAACTTAGCTCATGAAATCAGTTGAAATGTATTAGTTTTAACTGCTTCAATCCAAGACAAGAACCTTCGTTAACAGTCTCAAACTTAAGCCAGTCGCAAAACATTAAAAACTAATTTTGCTGATATATTGGTTAAAACAAATGAAACGATAAATTTTAAATACTTTTCTGATTATTGAATAAAATGTTTAAAAAAATTTGTAAATAAATAAGTTATAAAGGCTTTATATATTTTCCAAGCCTTAGAAATGAATATTTAGTTAAATCAAAATTTTTCGGAATTTTTTTTCGAATTTTGTTATTATTTTCAATTCATTAGATTCCTTTAAATATTCCACAGAAAAGCATATAAGTTTCAAGTCCTCCTGGGTCTTTTAACGAATTTTATTTACGGCATCTTAAGCAGCTCCCTAATTGCTTAATCCATAATTAACTTAAATGGTATTCTTTCGTATGATAATGGGATCCAATTGGTTATCCTTAAACAGATTAAAGATTACAATTTACAAAATCTAGTTAATTGGTTACTGTGCCTTTTATACAATCGACAGTGCAAAATGTTATCAACATGATTAGATTATCAAAACGCCCTCTCTAAATATAAATCTGGGCTAATTATAGTCAAAAAGATTTAATATCCTGTTTTATTAAAGATTATAGTTTTTACGTAACGAGCACTTCGATTTGGTCATACAATAAATTGCATCTGGTTTTGCATACTTCAGGGTTAGTTAATTTTTCGGCTTGCATTACATTTCTATACACATTTGAAAAAGGTCCAAAGTTTGGTCTCTGTGTAGTTCTGAGAATATATTTCAAACAGATATTTTTGTGACAGTAATTTGTATGTGGTGCAGTTATATGGAATATAAATAAATACGATTTTATGTATGTACAGCGATATCTAAAATTTTTAAAAACATATAAGCTGGACTGTCTCTGCGTCCCAGTTAAATTGTTCAGATTGCTTTAATACATGTCGAAATTCATTTAAAGACAAACTGTTTAACATTTTTATCTTACTGGCGAAATCAAGAATTTTGGGCATAACATGGTCTTGAATATCAATCAAAATGTCAAGAATTATTGGCAGTTCGTCCACTCACGTGCAACACAAACGGACACGGTTATTTTACAAATGTTAAGTACAATAAGCAAAACTGAAACCAAAACCTAAATGTAAATGCTGAATGAGTTTTACGTACACAATAACTGTGTAGGTAATAGCTAATGTTACATATTATTTTCTTCTCTTTCACTTAAGAACTATGCAAATATTTGCAATTAACTAAGAAAACAAGTTGCGGCAAGGCGGTAATTGGGATTCCAGCTTAGGGCTTGCTGTCAAAGCCAGCGAAATCTGAGGCCTCCGACTCATCGTCATCCTTCTCGACGCCGATGCAGTGGATTCCCGTCCGCAGCATAGGTGTTCCTTTGCCCTTTCCCAACACTCGGGCGGCGATCACCAGCTGTAGCAGCTCCTTGGCGTTGGATGAGCTGACTATGTGAAGGACCTCGCGCAGCAGCTTCTCCTTGTAGGCAAAGAACTCGATTTTCATCTCGAAAAAGTCGTGTTCGTCGTGCTTGGTGCCCTCGAACTCCGTGATCCTGCAGTGCAAACTCGGTGTGGCGCTGATCACCGGCTCAAACTTGCTGGCCAGCGTCTTGGCATCGCCGAAAAGCGACGTTGGCAGCTTCAGCTCGATCAGGTAGCGATGTCTGATCTGCAGAAAGCCCAGGCTCACCACAATCGTGTCGCCCGACCTCTGATATGTCACACAGCTGTCCGATTCGAAGTCATCCTTGACCGTGTTCGTGTCGAAGTGCACATGGTGGTCTGGAAAAATAAAGGTAATTGTAAGATTTTGTATTCAGAAAATAAATCTTAATATTACAATTATATGACTTGATTTATGCATCTAATGACTGATGGTTCTATAGTATGTCAACGTTGAAAAACATTTTAATTAAATGTAGATTCTTAAAGTTACCTCTGAGGAAATTATGTATAATATGTTATTTTATATTTCATAGTCGTGTCTGCCATAAGCCATCTTCAAACCTGACCTCTTACAAGTTACGGCAGTAGAGTTTCATCGTTTTCCCAAGCTGTTTGCATGTTTGCTAATTGTAAATTTACACAGAATTTAATTGAGTATCTTATTTGTTAAATAATGAAAAATTGTGCCTCTCGGAGCCGAAGGTCAGTCAGGTAGCCAGGTAAAATCGAGTGAAATTACCCTAGCAAGTCAAATATTCCGAGATAAACAAGCTAGCAAACTCGGGCTCGCCTCAAGTAAATTCACTCCAGCGGCATTCGCAGCGGAAGTTGCGTGTAAGCGTGTAATTAAACGCCCCTACCACTTCCCCCCTTGCATGCACTGTGAGAAAAATTGCACTTATTTAAGCACTGAATAATAGGTAAGTATTTTTCTAATTATCGTTCTACAACGTTGCCTATTTTACTGCATGATTTGCGATGCTAGTTCTTTAATGCAGTTTATTTTAAGGATTCTAGTTGATTTACTAAAGTTAACAATATATTTTCCCAATGTTCTCTGTGTAAGAACAGCAGAATAAATGCTGAGTCGAGGAACTGGACTCTCTGAGGGCTCAAATCACATTAAAACTGGGTCAATTGGGACCAAGTGCATGAAATGATGTTAAGAGATTCAAAGCGTCGAATTTCGCGCTGACAATAGCACTTGGATGGAATTTATAAATGAAGTGTCTTCTGCCAGCATTTAATTGTTGCTAACACATGGCAATTGTGAGGTAACAATGATGAATAAGCGAAGCATTGCCAAAAAAATGTGAACAAGGTGTTGAGAAATAGATATATGTATGCACAATACAAATAAATATACGCGCAATGTTTAGCACATAAATCAGCCTTATATTTGCACTCAAAACAGAAAAGTTTTTATTTGATTTACAAATAAACATTGCAAATAACCGTAGAGAAAATAATGTTTAGCTGAAAAGTGATCTGCTAGTAGGTTCTCTCGTATTTTGAGTTGAATTATTATACTAAATCACAATTATATTTAGCGCTAGAAACTTACTAAGCGCTTCTTGCTAATGACTGACATGGGTTATCGCATACTAAAAATGAGTTAATGATTTTCAATAGACCGATTGCTTTATCTTCCAATTAACAAAACGCTGACAAGTGTTTCTGCAGCTCTAAAAATTTAACAGCTCGTTTACTATCAGATTTTCGATCTCAACCGAGCAATGCCCTGAAATATCTAAAAAGTCGCCTACTTAATCATAGGCGATTGCCTCAGATATTGTTTGCCATATCTCATGGCCCCCAAAAAGTTGACTCTTGGCTAAAAATAAAACCCTTGTCTAGTTGGTCATGGCACTGGCAACGGAAATTGTGGCAAAAGTTTGTTCTTTTCGGAAAAGTATTTCTACAGAAATTTGGAAACTCAGACAGTGCGTTTCAAAAAAGTAAGATCTGAGCGAAATACGTACCTAATTATTGGTAACTTTCGCCCTAATTAGCTTATTCTACATTTGTATATTCGTTTTTGAACTAACTTTTTCAATTTGAAACGTGCTGTATGTTTGTTTTGCGTTTTCAAATAGATATTTTATTTTGCTCGGTGTTCTGGTGTCGCAACGATTGGAATGTCTGCGCAAATGGTTGATATTTTATTTTCCTTTTCTTCTCTACCATTTCGGCTGTATTCTTTTGTTTATTTGGCTGATCGCCCGCTCAGCAGAACGTAATAATTCAATTTTGCACTTTAATGTGCAGGAAATGGACATGATTTTTATGTGTAATTTATTTAATTTTTGCCGTAAACGCAGACGTATGCGAAATTGAAGCAATTTTCCGGTTGCTCCTTGGCCGCTTCGCAGTATGTAAGCAATTCATTGTAATCCAACTTAATCTGCTTAAAGCCGCCTCCACAATGGAGGCAACATTTTCACAATGCCAATTCATCCGGTCTTTTTATAAATTTCACTTGGAAGTCATGCGCCTCACTTAAAAATCTGGCTGAATGAAAAGCGCTCGGTCTCACGTGCCCTCCAATCACCATTGATTACCCATTAATGGAAATTCACAATCAACTGCCATCGATATTCAAATTCAAATTTGTGCACAGGCAACTTTTTCGGGATTTCGTTGCGGCACACAATTTTTGTATAGAGATAAATTATCTGATGCATATCTGACAGATTGTCTACCAATTGAATTCTCGTTGGCTTTCGCTATGTATCTCAATTGGTTCGTTTACTTGAAATTAAAGCATGGAAAATGTGAGAGAAACTTCATGCAGGATCTGGGTATATAGATCTATAAGGAGGTGGTATTTAGAGAATCTTCGAATTTAAGGAGGTTTTTTGAAGGTCTGGTGCTAGTTATATATTTAGTTCATGATCCAAAGACATTCAGTTAAAAACTGCTGCCATAACAGTTCCTGATTGAATATTTTCCGGCATGCTTGCCCAATTTGTCCAGCACTTCACTCCCTCACATGCGGCATTATATAACTTTGAGCCATCAAATATAATGTTCATATACTTTTATTGTTGGACAGTACTTGTGGGTCTGCCCCTTAGCAAATGCAGGTGCTTCCCTGTTGGGGGATGCCATAAAAAGGCCACCATTCGCCGTACGTGCCAAATCGCATATAAAATATAGAAAATGCCTTATGCCATATGCCAAATGCAAAACGAGAACGAACTGCAAACATGCATAACAATATGTAAGTTGTTTATTTCAGATTGCCTCTCGAATCAAAACAATTGAAAAGGTGTCCGTGCCCCAATGAGACAAATATCAATCACAAACCACTCGATGGGGCTGTGGGTGGTGGGTGGCCAAAGCGGTGCTCCCTCATGCAACAAAAACAACGTGCCTGCAGGCATCCAACGCGTCTATAAATAGCCCAACTCATGAGGATTGCACAATTGCATATCACGTTTTAGAACACATAATAACAACAACAAATAACAATGAAAACCTCGGCTGGCGGTCAGGTTATATGCAATTTAATAAGCCCAATGGAAGGCGTCCGTTGATGGTTTTATCTCTGGGGTGTCGAGAGTACAATTCCTGGGGCGGGCGCCGAATAAATTTGCAATTAGCATTGCTCATAAAACGCTGGGCAAACATTGTACTCGTAAAGCACTAACTCACGTCAATTTGCATGGCTGGGCGATAAGCGTAAGGAAAAACAAATTTATTAAATACTATACAAGCCAGTAACAAGTACAATAATTTGAAAGATCCGCCGAGCTCGTAGATCGCTATTATATCACGTTCAAACATTTTGTGTTTGTTTTCGCCATATATTATTCGCGAAAACGGATCGAATATAACTGCCACTTGAAATGGCCCCTCAAAAAGTCTGATAGCCCCTAATTGATGAAGAAAGTGTGTGAACCAAGCAATGAAAACTATTTTCGTTTTCCATGTGCTTGCTGCCCACAATTCATTAGCTTCTGTCAGTGGATCATAAATTAAAATTAATCTAAGACAATTTAAGAAGGCTGCAACAGGCTGATAAAAATTCTGGTCGAGCGTCGCTTGAAAAGCGATAAGGAAACCCATTTAAGTCACGCGAATAGCGACAAAGTAGGCGAAATGGTCATGAAAATGAAAACCATCGATTGCGCGCCAACAAAAGTGGGTGGTAGGTGGTCAAAATTGGCTTAGCTTTGGCCATGAACAAATATTATTTTTAATATTGCGGCAGAAAACCAGGAAGAAGAGGTCAAAGATCAACAATAGCGGAAAATCGAATGTGTGAAGTGAACGGGAAGGAAATGGCCAAAACACTCGTGCATACTTACACTGAACGAATTAATGGCTTACAAGCACAAATGTGCCAAAGCATTGAAATGTATTTAACGTATTTCTAATAAAATTTATAAATTTGACCAAAAGAAGGCATGTTAATCTTAATTTTGCTTTGCGTACTTCAATTCAGATGGCAACCACTTATCGGCAATTTTATCAAGGAAATATGCATGTCATTCATTTGGGTTTACTCATTCAAAGTTACACATTCAATAACTTCGAAATAGAATGTTCTGCATGGCGCACTTATTATTCGAATTGTTTGCCCAAACTTTTTTCAGTGCACTCCCAGCTGCATGACGGCTTCCCAGCCAAGAAGTGCAGCTGTGCTGAATCGCAGAAAAGGTCAGCAAACAGGCGATTGCCCTGAGTGGCCTGGCCTGCCTAAATTTAGCTCACTCTTCCTATTCCGACCATTCCAATTAAACCGAATTAATCGCCAAAATCCACGCGCAATTACCCCCACTTACCCTTTTTCCATTCTACCCAAGGAGCTAGAGCCCAAGACGCCGCCTTTTCCTAATGATATTTTAACGCACTTAAAGTGCTTTCCATGCAAATATTGGGCGCCGCTTAATGGCCAAACAAATGAGTTGGGCAAACAATAGCGACAAACGGAGTTACTAATTCTTACCTTGATGCTCCACATTTTCAATGGACTCGTCGCACATTTTGAGGATCCACAAAATTGCAGCTCTTGATTTGGTGGGGTTTTCTTTTTTGGTGGGAGCGTTAAATGCCAGTCGTGTTGTTTACACTGAGAATTTAAATAGACGACGAGCTTGCTCAGAATTTCCCGATTTTCGCCGCGAGGTGATTTAAATCAGAATCCAAAAACGACGAAAAACAAAATAAACAATAGTGGTGGTGGGTCTGTCGATTGTTCGTGGCTATCGATGGCGCCGAGTCGATAGTCATCTTCTGGCTTCCCTCTTCTGCCGCAATGGCGCTTTGGTGCACTGCTTTAACAGGAATGTTAAGTACATTGGGGATATTCAATAGTCCGTTGAATTGTTCAAATTAAACACTAATTTATGCAATCGCATTTATTAAAAGGTAACCTTCAAGAGCTATACAAGTAAATTTGTAAATTTGTCCACAATATACTGCGACTAAATGTTAAAAAAAAATTGGGCTATTAAATAATCAAACTCCAACTTTCTCCTAATAAAATTTTCATAGAAAATCTGAAACGTATTAACAATATTATATCATAATATTTTCAAATATTATCACATTTGTTATATATATATATACCATTTACTTTGGGAGTACCGAAAACAATTTAAAACAAGTAAATTATAATTTTAAGAGAAAAACAAACGAGTGCTCTCTAACGAAAGCTGATGGCTATACAACAACTGCTGGCTTATTTAGCACCTGACCACCAGCAATGCTGCCACTCTTCCACCGCCAGCCTTGCCAGACCCCGCAAAGTATATATTTTTACAAAATGGTGGCTTCTTCGCGGAGAAATTCGTAGTGGCGATTTTTAACAAAAAGCACGCATCTTGGCCAGCCAATTATTGCAAATTGCTGGCGAAAACATTCGCAACGACGCTGGCTGCGGCGTGTGGTTGGAAAATCCGCGGAAAAGCGACCGAAAATCGCACAAGAACCGAGTGAAAATAACTGAAAGCGAAGGCAGGCAATAAAAAAAACGCAAGCAAGCAACCAAAGTGCGTGCCTGTGTGTGTGTGTTCGTGTGTACGTCTGTGTGCGCTGCTCTCTGTCTGTGCCTGTGTGTGCGAGTGTGCCTCTCTGTCAGTGTGTGTGTGCGCAAAGTGTATGCAAAAAAAGAAGAAGAGAAACGGAGAAGAGCATTAAAAAAAGCGTACGACGAGTTTCACGCGCGCCCAACAACAAAAACACCAGAAAGCAGCAGCAGCAGCAACAACAACAAAAGAATCCAACAACACTTGGCAGCAGCGGCAGCAATAAATAAAAAAAACAACAACAACACAGCAACAACAAGCAGGCAGTAAAACGTAAGGAAAAATCTACAAGTGTGCGAAAATTAATTATTACTAAGTGTGTCACTAATTTAATTTGAAATCGCAGTTGCGCAGCGCGCAAATCATTCAAATTTATGTGAAATCTTTCGGGCATCAAAAAACAAAAAAAAAAAAAGAAAATATAACAGCAAAACAGAGAGACAGTGGCGTAGCACCTCCCCCGCAAATTTTTTTTTTTTAAGGGGGGCCGACGGGTGGGTAGTTTCAATCCAGTCTATTATGAACTTTTTGGGGTAGAACAATGCAAACACGAACGAAGGCTCAACAAATTTGCTGAAAAGGAATCGCAAGCGCAGCAGCAACAACAAAGCAAAAATCCAAGCGTCAGCAGCACAGGCAGGCGCAACTAGAACAACAAAAACAGGGCAAGCAACAACAACAGCAGCAACCCACCACCGTTGTTGTGCCTTTGTTATTGTTGTTGTTGCTGCTGTTGTTGTTGTTATCGTCGGCGTCACCACCGACGCGACGCAACGCGACGCTCTTGCGGCCAGCGCACCCACCACCCCCAAGGATGCTCCTGTTTCGGACTAACCCCCCTCCTGTAAACCCCCACCCCCACACAGCTCCCCTCAAGTACGCCCCTGTTCCCGTGACCGCTCCTGCTGGTCGTGCTTCTTCTTCCACTCATTCAACTGCTGCTGCTGACGTTGTCGGAAAAATGTGTCTTGTTGCCTTTTTGCTTGCTGGCTGCCTGATAAATAAGCTAAAATATGTACTTACCCACTATTAATGCTAGCGAAGTGTTTGGAATATCTCCCCAACATAAGGCTAATTGTATTTATTGGCAATAGATTATGAAACATATATCGTTATAACTGGGGATAAGGCACTATAGATATAGAAACTACAGTTCACTTAGATATGGTATCTGGGTTATATTGAGTTACTGAAGATTTGTATAATATTTCATAAGCCTTAAAGTCAAACTAAGTAACTTTTTTTATTACATTTAAAAAAGTAATGGGTCAAAGAATATGGGTCAACATGTTTGTCTCATGATAAAGTAATTATAAGTTTTCAACTCATAACCAGATAGTTACTGAACACAGGGCCAACGTGTAAAATTGCTACGTTTTATGGTCCCATTTTATGGATGCTTTTGGTAGTAAGATCGCTACTGGGCCATTGTTTATCGCAGGGGGTTCCTTTTTGCCCCAGCTGCTCAATTCTTCCGTTTGGTTCTTTCATTTTCTTTTCTTTGCTTAATCATCTCCCTCGTCTCGGCTCTCACCTACGTCATCTCTTCGCCTTCCAGCTGTGTTTGTGCAAATTAACCAAAATATACATTTCCGGCTATCCGCTGCCCCCTCGCTGAGCAACAACTACAACAACTACAGAAGCAGCAGCGGCAGCAACAACAACGATATCAAGAACAACAGGAGCAGAGCAACAAGAACAACCAAGACCGCCCACCACCCCCTTTGAAAATTCATCGACCCATCACCACATCATCATCATCAGCATCCTCATCAACTTGGAATCTGGAGACGGAGACCATACACCGTAGACCGGAGTTACTTTGCCGCCTGCAACTGGAGAGAGGAGCATCTTCGGGTGGAACGCCTCGACGATACACAAACCCGACTACGGATTCATGGTGAGCCCAGACATCTGTTCTCGAGCCCGGCACACATTTAATTATAATTATTTGTTTGCTTAATTCGATACTTCACGCTGGCCGGCCCCGTCTCATGTGTCACATACCCTCGATGGGGTTGCTTGTTCATTGCACCGAACGGTTTCCACTGGGCTGGCTAATGGAGGAAACTATTTTTCAATGGGATCCCAAAGCAATTAGACATACGGGGGGCGTGTGCCCATTAATCCGTTGCTATTGTCGCTCATATTCGGATTTCTGCTGTTCATTTTGTGACCTGGTATTTAGGGGAAATACGATTAGATCGCTGATAAGGTTTACACATACCCTAAAACCCACTGAAACAGATCTTTATCGCAGCACTTGTATATTGCTAATGAGTTGCCTTGTTGGCCAATTAGTACACTCTTGTTCGGAGTAAATAAAAAGATTGACCGGGATCCGTCAGGTCATAATTGGAAAATATTCCACTTGTAACTAGGTTTAGGCATTAAAACGCTACAAAAGAGAGAATACTGATTGGGAAGACTAGTAGCCATTTTTGCATTTATAGTGACAGTGTTTTATGGCTAAAATCTAGTTAAATAGGTTAATTTGTATTGCATGCACCAAGTGAGCAAGCTATTGTAGCTCACTTGTTGTTCAAACAACATTGTGCAGGCTTAAATCAGAGCTAATGGGGGATTACCAGGTCATATGATACCTATTAGCGCATTTACGCATTGTATATGGGGGATTTAGGGATCTCTTTATCTCTTCTAATGAAGTGCCAGGGGTCCATTTAACTTACTTTTAGCCAACTGTAATTCGAGGCAGTTAGTTCGTGGAAAATGGAGATTGATTTCAAGGAAATTCCCACACAATTTGCACCGCTGTGTGTGTTTGCCGTGCTTATCTTCAAAACGCACACCCTACCCATTTCCACATTTCCATTCGCTTATCAGCACCCACCACCGCCACCACCCCAAAAGCACGAAGAGTGCGGCGGCGAGGCCATCTGATTAGGGACGCATTAAAAGGCTGGAGTGTTTAATTAATAAATAACGTGCTAATAATGCATTTAATAAAAAAGCAAGACGAGTGCCGCGAACGGAAACTTAAGGCGCACAAACAAATAACACGAATATTTCAAAAAAAAAAAAGGAAAAGAAAAACATTAAGTGCTGTTGGGAAATGGATGAGTTCCCTCGCGGTTTTCCTGCTCCTCTGGTTTGGTTCGGTTTGGTTTTGTATTTTGTGTTTGGACTTTTATTTCTTTCTTGGGTACCTCTGGTATGTTACACAGTAACATAAGGCTGCTCGCCTTTGATGTCGGGGTTTTGTGCGCGCTTTCATATTATATTATTAGACATTTGGCTTATTTATAAGGTGCCGTTAAAGTTTAACTTTTATTAATCTGTTTTGTTGCGCTTTTAATTTATAAGTGCTGCTTATCTGATTGAAAAGTCCGTCCGTCTATCCGCGCACACTTGACTCGAGTGTGTCGATTTATTGATGTCGATTAGAAGTAAACGGAAGGTTCCCCTGTTCAGCCTCGGAACTCTCCCCCCCTTTTTCGATCTGCTGTCCATTACGTAACCGAACTAATTTGCATTGCTGACTGGGCAGCCAAGCGGCTTGATCTCAGCCATCGCCATCGTCATACCTAAATCACTAAATCCTAAACCTTGAACCTAGTGGTGTGTACGTGAGATAAGCTCGTGCGGCGGCAATTGGTCAGTAGACAAATTGTTTGACCTTTTGATAGCAAAGTGTCTAATCTAGCATTGCTTACATTTTTTAAAAGCGCAAATCCGGCTCAAAGGACCAAACTGAATATTAGACTGGGTGTTTATCAAATAATCTTTTGTCTTCTCGACAAAATATAAAATAAACCTCTTTTCCTCACGATGACATCGTTGATCAAACACTCGCAGTGCTAAATCAATTCCAGTTACTGTTTCTGTTACGTGTTAACTCCATTTAGCGATAAGATAATTAGCACACACAGAGTGCTTATTAAAATATACAATTCCGAGTGATGTATTTGTGGCCCGGCTGCATGTCAGCGTATTATTATTATTTATTCGTTATTTATAAAGCGAGATGAAAAAAAAAATGATGAATAATTAAGCTCGTGTTAATCAGTGTAAAATCATTGAACAGACCCAAATGGGTGCGAATATAATGCAAAAGCGTGTTAAATGGGCCCATAAATCTTTGGCGTTGTGTGTAATTCTATTAGCCAAGCGGAATAATACGCGGCCCAGGAGCGGGAGGCACATCATGCAAAGAGCTCATTTACAAACATACAGG